CCACGGCACTGCCCCCCACCTCTGACCCCACCGGCCCTGCCTCCCAACCCCGGCAGGCCCTGCTTTCCCAGACCCCTGGCCTCCAGAGCCCTGGCCCCCTAGACCTTGCTCACGAGCTCCCACTGTCCCCAGCTACCCCGTCTTCCCCTTTGCAGGACTCTGAACTCCCCGGTTTTACAGTCAGTTCCCACAGCCACTTTCAACTGTATGCACATTTTATTAAATACTAATGACAGTGCGGCCTGGGCCTCCGCCTGCAGCCCGCCACACCCTCTCATCTCCGCAGAGTCCCCGGAGCCTCCCAGTGGGCACTCCCTGCCCGGCTCCCTCCTCCCCGTGGGGACCAGGCCGGGCGCCCTCCTCCGAGCCCCATGAGTGGGCCCTGTCCTCTGAAATGGCAAACATGTTTACTGGCTAAAAATACCAGCGGCCCGAAGCCTTGCCAGCCTGGGGGCCGGGTCAGGTCCAGTTACCAGCGGGGTCGGGGGAGGGGAGGGGCGCGGGAAGAGCCACTGGGGGTGGCGTGAGGAGGACACGCAGTGCGCAGACACGCGTGTGGACGTGCAGACGTGCAGACAGGCTCAGACACGCACTCGTGGACAGGCAAGCAGACGGGTATAGACTTGCAGAAACAAGGCCCAGCAGAGCCCCGGGCATCTGTGCGTTCTTTCACACTCATATCCTATCCAGCTAGCGACTCAGCCCCACCGCACACTCAGAAGCACTGTCAGGGACTCAGACTCCCCAAGAAGCTGCCTCTCCCCACTTTTATCTGCACTGCCTCCTAGACCCCTAGTACTGAAGGTGAGAAACATAACTGGCACAAGTGCTGGAGCCAGAGGATCTAAACTTTCAAACTTTGGAACATTTTTTTAAAAGTAAAAACCAAGAGCCAATTATTATTCTCTAACAATGTCTTCTACAGCTTTTCTTTTTCTTTTTCTTTTTTTTTTTTTTCCTGGTTTTTTTGAGACAGGGCCTCACTATGTTGTGACTCACCTGGAACTCACTGTGTAGCCCAGGATGGTCTCAAACTCACAGCGATCCTCCTGCCTCAGCCTCTCAAGTGCTGGGATTGCAGGTGTGCGCCACCACACCCGGCTTTTTAATTGGGTTATTCTGTTGTTGTTGTTGTTGTTGTTGTTGTTGTTGTTGTTTTGAACCAGGGATCAAACTCAGGTCTTTGCGCTTGTAAGGCAGGCAGCAAGAACCACTGAGCTAAATCCCCGGCCCTCCTACACCTTTTCTTAATTTTTTTCTGGTTTCTTGAGACCCGGGTCTGCCATGTGGTCTAGGCTGCCCTTGAACTCACCTTGCAGACAGTGGCCTGGAGCTAGCTGTGTCACACAAAGGGCCGGATCATCTCTGCTGACACTCTTACAAGTAAAAATCAATACCTCCCTGGGGCTCTGGGGCTCTTTGTTGTTTTGTTTTTATTTTTCAATGTTGTGGATGCTGAGAAGAACCCAAGGCCTCCCTAGAGCTAAGTCATACAAACCACCACCCACAGCCCCAGCCCTTGGAATTTCAACACCAGGGAGTCAAGGGAAAAGGCCCCCCTCCAGGCCCCTACCGCTTGGACTGTAACTTTGAAAAGAATCACTTGGTTCTTGAAGGAGTTTTCCCAGTGCCTGTTCCTTAATCTACACCTAGGTTCTCAGAGGCACAGCTGTGCTGTGACACAGGCCACTGTGACAGTCTCTGCAAAGACGCGGGGAGGCATGGGAGAAAAGGGAGAGCGGGTTGTGGGCCACAGGGAGGATGAGGCCAAGTCACCGCAGAGACTGGAAAGACGGTGCCCCTCAGCTGGACCAGACCTGGGTGCCCAGGTCGCCAGGGGAGCGTCCAGTGCAGCGAGGGGAGACAGACTGGCAGCTTCGACTTTTCTCTCTTCCTTCCTTTCTGCCCAGGGCTGTAGCCGCCGCTCCCTCCTCCCCCAGAGCCACCCCATGGATACAGTGCAGCAGAGGTTCTGTTCTCACTTATCCCTCAGCAAGGGGAGGGTCTCAGACAGGCTGAGTGATTTGCTTAAGTCACACAGTGGGCAAAGCCAAGGATCTGTGTTCCCACTAGAACAGGGAGTGTGTGGGTGTGGGTGTGTGTTCATTCATTAAGTGGTTTTTGATTTTGTGAGGCTGGTGACTGAACCCTCATGCTTGCATGGTACATGTGTTCTACCACTGCTGCCCTTCCAGACCCCAGGAATAGGTGTTTGTTTTCATTTTGCAGTATTTTGGATTGAACTCAGGGCCTTTGCACTGAGTTGCACCCCCCAGCCCTTTGCATATTTTTTGAGACAGGGTCTCACTAAGTCAACAAGTAACAGGCTGGGCTCAAACTTGTGACCCTCCTGCCTCAGCCTCCCAGAGTGCTGCAATTACAAGTATGTAATTGCACACCCAACTAGGAGCACATTTTAAGTGAATGCACTCTAGTTGTAACTGGCCCCAGGGACCTTGCTCTTTCCAAGGAGCTCTGCACACCATTGGCACAGCTTCCAGCTCCCAGCCCAGGAAACAACTCCCGTACTTGTGGGCCCCTGCACATGCACACACACGTATACAAACTGACATGCACACACAGGCTCACACACACACGCGTGCACAAACACATAGATATGCACACTTTGTAAGAGACCCCCCCCATCCTAACAGTGAAGAAAACCTGTGTCCACCATCCCCACATTCTGCAACTGTCTAAACATGGCTTTCCTCTTGCACCTCTGCCCACACAGGGAGGCCCCTGTCCTCATGCTGGCCCTCTGCACCCCTCCAGGCATCCTGACGAAGTCCTGCCTGAGTGCCACGTGTCGTCATTGTGGGGATAGCCCAGCTTCCCCAGGAGTGACACTCCCTCTGGGGTTCCCCGAAATACGCAGGGGCCTGTGTGAGATGAACCTTGAGCTCCTCTGTTGCTAGGCAACAGGCTTTTGTTTGGTTCCTATTATGCCCGTTTCCATGGTACCCACCAGGGGAGCTCCTGGGCAGGCCCCTGGCCAGGGGAATCCCCTTCCCTCCAGCTGCTGTCATTTCTCAGTTTAGGGTCCCCTCCTCTGAAATCCGCGTGTAACCAGGAGGAGGGAGCTCAGTGGGTAATCTGTTTGAAGTGTGGCCCTGACAGGAAGCCGAGTGAGCGGCCTGCTTTTGGCCCCTAGAAACAGCCCTACCGTAGGAGCAGCCTTCTGTGTGGCCTCCTCCGTAGTCCAGAAATGACTCTTCTTGGCTCCACTGGGGACTTTGGGGACCCATCCCCACCCCTTGCCAGCCTTGGGGTGAGCAGCCCTCCCAAACAGGCCTCTCCCGATCCTTCCAGTTCCTGGGCCAGACAACAAATTCCTGGGCAACCTAAATTTTGGGACCCTAAGTCTTCCCTCAGCAGTTCTCTAACTCTAAAATCTCCACCCTAACCAAATACCTGGGAGTCAAATAAAATAAATCATCCTTCCCCAGCTCAGAGCTACCCGGCCTGGATTAGACCTCTGAATTCCAAAGGGTTCCTGAATGACTAGTCAGGTGGGAACCTGTCAGGCATTAGGATCTCGAGGCTCAGCCCAGGTTCAAGCTGGCGGAGACCCGCAGCTTGGAGGAGGAAGGCTAAAAAGCTCTTCCAGGCGGGAGAACCGGAAGGAAGGGTGCCAAGGAGGGCAGGTAGCCCATCTGGGGGTGTGGGTGGCATGAGGCTGAAAGGAGGACAGAAGGGGCAGCAGGGACTGCAGGGCTGGGAAGGCTGGAGGGAGGGAGGACAGAAGAGACCAGGCTGGGTAGAGCTGGAAGGCTGAACTGGAAACCGGAGCTGCGGGAGGGCGCTGGAATGGAGGAGCGGCCCCACCCAGCTGGCTCCCCACCCGGGACAGCAGCCTCCGCACCCCTCCGTGGAATCTGCCTTCTTGCTGTCCCTCTGCTTCCTCTGCCCAGCCCCCGACTCCCAGGGAAGGGAGACCGCCCTCCTCACCCACTACTAAACTCGGCTGAGGCGAACGGGCTGGGCGGGAAGGAAGGCCAGGGCGGCCTGAGCCTGAGTCACTGCATAGCTGAGGTTCCCGTCACTGCAGCCCCGCCTCAGCTGCACCCTGTGCCCTCTGCCTACCCGGATGGCACTGCTGCAGCCCACCCTGCCCAAGCCTGCTCCACATCATGCTCCTCACCCTGGCTCTGGATTGGGAGCTTCTGGGTGCCCTCCGTATGCCCCACACCCCAGTTCCTCTGGTCTAGGGGCAAAGGTGACCATTCAGCCAGAGCACAGGGGCAGGATGCACCCTTGGTCCCATCCCCTCACCTGCATTCACAGGTGAAATATGGGACTGTGGGAGGCCTGAAGGCCCCTGCCAGGTACACTCTGTGAGCATGAGTCAGGACAAGGAGGGTGGGACAGAGGGCATGTGTCAGCTACTCCCCATCCCAACAGTGGGAGTGAGACAAGTGTCCCGGGCCTAACAGTGACTCAGTCCCACCCAGTGGAGTCCAGGGAAGTGGCACCACCTTGGAGCTGTGATGGCCAGGATCCACTGACTGTCCCCAACACCGTTGGCCAAGTTCCCAGTCCCGAGCAGCCCACTTCCAGAGGATGCAGCCCCGTGTTTGTTTTTCCCTCCCTGGCCTGCTCCGCTGTCCCACTATCCCACCAGCCTTGGCAACTCCAGTGCCCTCCACCCTAGCTCTGACCTGTTCCCCCTCATCCACCCCCAGCCCTGCCCTGTCCACTGCTCATAGAGCCAACCAGGCTGCAAAGGGCTAAGGCAGCAGAGGCCTCCCCGGGGGCGATGGCCATGCTAGGAGGGCCCCTGGAGGGAAGCACATTCCACGAAGATCCCATCAGACAGAGCCAAACCTCACAGTGGCCACCCCCTCTGCCCTGCCCAAGCCATTGTGTAAAAAAGGGAAAGTCAACAGGTCCAGCCCCGCCTTCGGGATCCTGAGGAAACCAGGAAAACAAAGAGGGGCGTGGGGCAGGGAGGGCCAAGGCCATGGGGTGGTGGCCGAGAGGCCACACCTGCCCAGGCCCGCGCCCTTTTCAGAGGAACCTTGGCCACTCCCCAGCCAGTGTCCCCTCCCGAAGTCCCTGGGTGCTGGGGGACTGGGACATCCCAGGAATCCTGCTGGAGCAAGATGACGGCCTCGGGGAACAGTGCCAGACAGATCAGGGCAGAGTGATGGGAACAGGCGGCCGCTTCGCTAACCTTTCAGGAGCCACAGAGGAACAAGGTGGGCCCCCAGGCCACAGCCAGGCACCACAGTCCCCACATCACCCAGGAGCCTGCCTACACCGAGGGAGGGAGGCCTGAAGGCTTTGGATCTGAGAGCAGGCCCAGCCTCAGGGGTATCTGGGCGGGGCCTCCCATGCTGCCTCCTTCCCTAAGGGGAAGTGGCACATTTGGAGCATTCTGGGCAGCTGGAGGGTGGTTCTGACCCTGGGACAGCAGCAGCAGGTCTTTCTTGGAAGAACTTTAAAGGCTTTTAATGTTTTAAATAAGTGACTCAAGCAGATTACCAACGAAGCTGAAATAAATAGCTGCTAGCAGCCAGCATCTGCTGGTCCACAGCTGACCCGGGCCTGGCCTGGCCCTCACGCTGGGTTCAGCGAGGATCCTGTCTGCAGCTGCAGCTCCAGCTCAGCCCCAGCCTCCCCCAGGAGGTCCTGCTACTTCCCCGTAAGCGCAGAAACTCCTCCTTCCCTCATTCTTCAGGTTTTCCCGAGATTAGCTGTTCTCATCCCCCAGGAGGTCCTGCTACTTCCCCGTAAGCGCAGAAACTCCTCCTTCCCTCATTCTTCAGGTTTTCCCGAGATTACTGCTGTTCTCAGCCGCTGACCCGCCCCCACTGCCCTTCTCTTCCCCCCGGCCCCGCCCCCAGCCCGCCCTGCACAGTGGGCACACGAAGGGTGCTGCACTGCACGCGCTCCCTTGGCATGCAAGGAAAACTGTCCAGCAACCGCAGACGTCCTCGGGCGCAGGCTCCGATTGGCTACCTACACCCACGGGACCGGCCTCCAATTGGCTACCCAGACCGGGAAGGGCGGGCCCCTGTGGCCAGGCTGGGGACTCAGGTTTGGGCGAGCAGGCGGAAACAAGTCCAGATGCGCTTCCCCTTCTCGCGCCCCATCTGCCGCTGTACTCTCACTGGAGGAGAGGGCTCCAGCCCAGCCCCTCAGCCTCCTTCCTGGCCACCCAGGGTAGAGGCGGCAGGGCCTGCACAGGCCTTCGCGCTCCGCCAGGCCCCAAAATAAATCTTGCACAACGCCGCCGTCTCCTCGGCCCAAAGCTGCAGCTCCTGGGGATGAGGGCAAAGATTGCACAAGGGGTGTGGTGGGAAACGGAATCCAGGCTGCGGAGGACAGGTTTGGCGAGGCAGGCAAGAAGCCGGGGCTCTGGGCTTGGGGAGATCCCGCTGGACGCGGTCCAAGGGGAGCAGGAACCAACCCATCCCGGCAGGATAGCAGGCCGCAGCTGTTGCTGTCCACAGCGCCCTGCCCCTCAAGGGGGGCCTGTCTGCTGCCAGCTCCAGTGCCTGGCGAACCAGAGGTGGACGATGCATCTGTTTCTGCATCTGCCTCAAGTGTGAATCAGACTTGTTCAGCCTCGAGGACTTAACCCAGGGCATGGCTACCACTAAGTTACATACATTGCCGACCCTTTTTGACACAGGGCTTTGCTAAATTGCCAAGCTGTCGAACTTGCCATCTTCTCCTGTCTCGGCCTTCAGAGTGGCTGGGATTACTGGCATGCACCCTCCTGTCTCTTTTACAGATTCTAACTCGAGCTGTTAATTTTATGGAGACCTTCAGTGCTTTCTTTTGGAAAGACAATCAGAATGGCAAGAATCTCTAAGAAAGGATATAAAAGGGAAAAGCAGCCATCTTGATCTGGGCAGGGCACTGGGTAAGTTATGAGCACTGAGGTCCTAACAGGTGCAGTGACACCACAGGCGCCTGCAGTCCAAGCACCTGTTCCTTCCTCAATGGATGCAGGAACCCAGCCCAGGGCTGACCACAATGGGCGAGGCCCACAAGCTAGGGTCGGAAACCCTGAGGAGGATAAGGCCTCCCTGCCCCAGTCCTGTAACACATCTGTCAGCTCAACCAACCAGAAGGGAGCATCCCGGGCTGTGGGCAACAAGGGAGCCTCACAGTCCCACCCCTCTGACACAGCAGGGACCCAAGCCCAGGCACTGTCAGTAACCGAAAGACTGCCAAAGCATTGGGTGCCGTGCAGCACACCACTCACTCAAGGACTTGGACACTGGAGGGCATGATGGGGAGGGGCTCCTGGGACCAGCACCTGACACCACCACACCATCTGGCTCCTGTGTGCATCACAGGCACTCACCCCTTTCCCTGGAGAGACTTGAAATCCCACCTCACATCTCTGCAGTCACAAGGTGCCCCCCCAAAGGCAGACAGCCAAAGGTTCAATGTTCAGTTTCCTTTAATGGCCCCACCTCCCCGAGGGCCAGGTGCGGGTGGCCGGGTGGTGAAAGTGACGGTCACTTGAAGATCTTGCCCTGGTTGAAGGCTTTGCCCACGTGCTGGAAGGCCCCCTCCCAGGAAAAGTACTCGCGCACCAGCGTCTGCGTCTCCTCACTGCTGGGGTCCAGCTTCCTCCACGTGTATGACTCATAGTCCACCTGCCAGTCTGGACTCAGCTAGGGGAGGCCAGAAAGGGGTCAGAGCAAGACCAGACCCAGCCTGGCCCGGCCCGGCCCGCCCCGCCCCACCTCACCGGAAAGGCCAGTTCCTGGCCCCGGAAGACCCAGACTCCCGAGATGGAGCTGCTGTTGTTGGTGCCAAAGAGGATGACACTGGCGAAGGCATTCTTCCGCAGCTTGTCCAGCCGCTGGAACATTCCTAAGGGCAGAGGACACCACTGGGAACCCCAGTTCCTGCCGGGCCCCTCACCCCTGGCAGTGCCCTTCCTTCTCACCAGTGATGAGGTTGCAGCTCATAAAGGTCTGGGTGAGCTCTTCTGGGAAGCGGTACTCGGCGAACCACAGGGACCAGCCGTCCTTGTCGAAGTGCCCCCAGAAATACGGCAGTGCCACAGAGAGAGTGTCCTCATTGGAGTACTTCCGCTTAAACTCATCCAACACAAAGGTGCTTAGGGAAGAGGACACATCGTGAGGCGAGTAGGGATGGCAGCTGCCAGCCAAGAGCTTACCATGTTTTCCTGTAAAACTCATGATCCTAGAAGCACATGGCTGAGGAGCGCCACAGAGGCCCACTAGCTCCTCTGCCATGTATGCCTGGCACAGGGAGGGTGGGACTGCACAGGCCAGGACCCACGCCTGCAAGCCAGGCACAGCATGGCCCACTGCTGCCCCCAGGTGGAGACCTGGAGCCAGGAGCTGGGACTCCTCCAGGCCACTGTCCTCCCAGTTCAGTAACTGACTCACCCGGAGGCAGGAAGGCCAGGGCCTCAGCCTGAACCCACACCCTGGCCTCCAGTCCCTGTCCAGAAGTGGGCACTGAAAAGCTATCTGCCCCAACCCCACGCACCCCCGTGGCTCCTTCTTCCCCATTATACAAACACATGCTGCCTACAGAACACCATGTACATCAGTGAGCAAGAACGAGCACTTTTCTTTTTGCAGTACTGGGGTTCGCACATAGGACCTTCACAAACAGCTACATACCCCAAACTACTCCCCCTACCCCCAGTACTGTGGACTGAACTCATGAACTCAGGCAGGTGGGGCACCCCTGAGTTAAATCCCCAGCCCTACTTTTTTTTTTTTTTTCTTTTGCAGTACCAGGGATCAAACTCAGGACCTTGTGTTCCTTTTGCTTTTTGAGACAATTTTGCTAAACTACTAAGTTGCTCAGGCTGGGTCTGAACTTACAGTCTTGCCTCAGCCTCCCAAAGCGCTGGGATTAGCCATGTGCTACTACACCTAGCTACTAATTCACATTTTTACGTCTTCTTTGGCTTCTGATTTTCTGAAGATGTGTGGTTCTCTGCCTTACAGCTGCTAATACCAGAGCAGACTACAAAACACACCCTGCAGACACCCTGGTGGCTACACTGCCATCCACTGAAGGATGTGCAGCCTGCCTCACCAGTCCGGGTGTTAAACCCTGTGCACAGCTGCTCCAGGATTAGTTAGCAAACAGGGTAAGTGTCCCGCACTCCATACCACCACATGACTGTCCACACTCACACCCTGCCCATGCACATCCAAGGCTCTCCCTACACCCAGAGCTGCTATGATTGCTGTCCACACCCGAGGCCTGCACACCTGTCTCTCCAGGCATCAGACACAGAGACATGCTTAGTGGAATCACGCCCCAGACTGTACCACAGCCTCCTTAGGACAGCATCTCTTCTATGATACTAACAATCTCAGGGAGTGAATGGGTAAAGACATGATGCCTCCACACAATGGAGCACCACTTTACCATAAAAAGGATGATTTCAAGACACTTGTCAAAAAACAGATGTACCTTGAAAACAATGTTAAATGAAATAAATCCAGCACACAAGCTTCAATATTGACTGCATGGTTTCTCCATATGAGAAATCCAAAGTGTAAAGAAAAGTAAAGAACAAAATAAAAAGCCAATAGAAATAGATCTTTTGCAAATGCCAAGACAACTAAGAAGTGTCAGTTGGGAGGAGGGAGAGAAAATAAAAAGATACAAGATGGGTCATGTAGACACACCAGCTATGCACAATCAATGTAATCACTGCATGTCACAGATGTGAGCTAAAATAATAATAATGGGGAAGGGGATGAGATGGCGGGAGGAAGATGGAAAAGGAATAAAAATAATCAAGGTATGTGAAGAACAGGAATCTACTCCCTAGCATATCATGAAGATCGTGCACTGTGAACATTGGTGGCACAAACCTGTAACCACAGTATGCTGGGAGGCTGAGGTGGGAGGAATGCAGGTTTGAGCACAGCATGGGCATTTCAGCAAGTGAGCAAGATGCTGCCTCAAAATGAAAAGGGCAGAGGATGTAGCTCAGGGTGAAGGCTCTGGCTTGTACTCCCAGTGCCACAGAAATTAATCCCTAACTTTGGGTCTCGTTATGGAGTGAGAATTACCTGGAACTCACTACGTAGCTCAGGCTGGTCTCGAACTCACAGCGATCCTCCTGCCTCAGCCTCCAAGTGCTGGGATTATAGGTGTGCGCCACCACGCCTGGCAATCCCTAACTTTTAATAACCAGGGGAAAGTAAGAGTCTGGAGAAAAAAAGCACTTTTAGCAACCCAGAAAGGCATCATGGCAATGCAATAAATAGGCATTAATAAACATCCCCTCAGGTTGGAGATTAAGCTCAGTGGTGCTACCACCTACCTCGAAAGCACAAGGACCTGAGTTCAATCGCCAGTACCAAATAAATAGATAAATAAATAAACAACCCCTCGCCCACCTCGCAGGACACAAGGTCCAAACTTTGATCACTGGTTAAAAAAAAAAATCCACAAGGCATGTAACAAATACAGTTTAGTAGCTGCAGATCCCTGGGAGGCTGAGACAAGAAGCTTGTCTGACCCAAAAATATGAGGCCAACGTGGGAGAACAAAGTGAGACCTAGTCTCCAAAAGAGAATGGACATCTATACAAGATTATAAAGCTGTTGCCCATTTTTTCCATCCAGAATACAGAATACAGCCTGTGAACATCTCCAGCCCACCACACCATTCACACTACCCTAGCAGCTCTCCCTGCATGCTCCAGCATGGCCCTGGGCTCCAACCTCAGCACTATGAATGCAGACAATGCCCAGGCGCCACATCAGAGCCGGCATCAGAGCCACATCAGGGCCGCCCATCAGAGCCGGCACAGCGGCCTGGCTCTAATTCCCAGTACTGGGGTGGAGACCATCACAGAACGGAACAGGCAGAACCCCAGCTCAACAGACTCACAGAGAGTGGACAGTGGCTCAGAAAAGCAGGGCAGGGCATGGACACAGCTGTGAGCAGACCACAGCTTGGATGCTCAGAATGCTCATTTCAACTCCCAGTAAATGAATCCGGAGTCACAACTGTGCCAGAGCGCCAGGCAAGAAATGGCACCCACCTCACCCGCCACACCAAATCTCTTCTCAGCAGGTGCAGCACCCCTGAAGCTGTGGAGGCTGAGGTGGGGGGCCAGACTGGCCAACACAGCAAGACCCCAGAAAGAGGACACAGATGACACCCCACCTACCTCCTCCTCTCGGGGGGCTCAAAGACCTGATTTTATTAATGGACAAGACAGATATCAAGCGGCCTTTCTCTTAGTAACCTGCCTGGTCTATCCAGCAATGGGTAAAGGAAGCATTTTACTCTACAGCCTATACTTCCTCCTTTTGCCTTCAGGTCCTCATCAAGAGCAAAGCTTGAGCTCAAGCTCCTGCCCTCTTGTACCAATGTCCCCAAAGACTGAATGGATCTGAAACTGGATTCCTACTTTCCTGATAATAAGCTAATGAGGCTGCTCTTTTCTCTCTCTTTTTTTTTGGGGGGGGGGGGTTTGAGACAGGGTCTCACTTTGTAGTCAGGCTAGCCTTGAACTTGAGGCAATCCTCCTGCCTCTGCCTCCTGAGTGCTGGGATTATAGGCGTGTGCCACCACGCCTGGCTTGAGGCTGCTTTTTGTTTTGTTTTGGTACAGGGATCAAACTCAAACTCGGATCCTTGTGCTTGCAAGGCAGGCAGCAGAACAACTCAGCTAAATCCCCAGCTCAAGGCTGCTTTGTTTTAAGAGCAAAATCCACCTTTCGACTTCCTAGAACCTAAACTTCCAGGGCTAGTTGACCGACAACACACCCAGAACAAGAGCATGCCCGGCCACCTCACCTCTTAGGCAGGTGTGCAAAGGGGTCCTTGGCCTTGGGCTCAGCAGCCAGCGCCTGCTCACACTCATCCAGCTCCTCCTCAGGGGCCGGGGCAGCTGCCTTCTTCTCCTCTTTCCGTTCAGCCTGGGGTTTCTGCTTTTCTTCCCGTGAGCCTTTCTCTTTCCGTGGGGTCTCTTTCTTGGGCTGGCTCTCTGCAAACTTCTTAGCTGGGGAAGGGGAGGGCAGCAGCATGAATATCCAGGGAATAAGAGGCAACACAACAGTGGGCCCAATGAGCACCTGGACCCGAGTCCTGACACAGAAATCCAAGGGGGCCCCCATACCGGAAAGCTAGGATTCCTTACTTTGATGCAAATGAGCCTGTCCTTAGATGAAAAGATCTCTTAACACGGTACCATGGGTAACACTCTATATTCTGACAGCACATCAAGGGGCTGACAGCAAGTGTACTCTGGCCCTGCCTGGAGTTCCTCAACCTCAACTCACCATCGAAATGGGCCATCTTCTCACAGAGCTTCACCTCCCCCAGCACTGCGAGGAACTGGGGCTGGTTAATGCAGGTGAGGAACCAGCGATTGGTGTTGGGAAAGGCCTGGCGGAAGGAAGGCTCCAAGACCTGGGCGAGTAAGAGAGGAAACAGTCACAGGAGGGAGAGGCCCTGAAGAGATTCAAGCCGGAGCTCAGGAACCCAGCCCCTCCTCCACCTGAGCTGTCCCCAGGCTCCTCTCTGTGTGTCACCTTCCCATGCAGGGTCAACTACTTCCTGTTCTTGTCTAAATCTTTCCTTGAAACCCAGTCCACTTTAAGGGATGCTCTATTTACTATAACAGCGCGGGCAGCTGAGCAGTGGCGCACACCTGTAACCTCAGCTCTTGGGAGGATAGATCAGCTCAGTTCAGTCTGGGAAAAGCAACAGAGCAAAACCCTGTCTCAAAGTAAAAGTGGGTTGTGAATGCAGCTCAGTGTAAAGACCCTAGGTTCAATCCCCGGTGATACCAAAAAGAGTTGGGACTAAAACAGGCATGGTGACACAGCCTGTAATCCCAAAACTGGGGAGAAGTAACCAAGTTTAAGGCCAGTCTGGGCTACATAGTAAGACCCTGCTTCAAAAAAAACAAAGGACTGGGGATTCAGCTCTGTGGCATCGCGCCTGCCTCACAAGCACAAGGTCCTGAGTTCAATCCCCAGCACCACCACCACCAAAACAAAAAGCACAACTCAATGGTTTGGGCCAGGGATGTAGCTCAGCAGCACAGTAACTGCCTGGCAAGTGTGAGGTCCTGAGTTCAATCCAATCCCCAGTACAAAAACAAACATAAAGTAGCTATAAAAGCACAGTACTTATTTTGGGCCAAGGATGCAACTCAGCAGCTGTGTTTCCCTAGCACGCATAAGCAGTGAGTTTGATAGCCGGCACTACCAGCTAAAACAGTGCCTATTATACTAAGAAAGAAAGCAAAACACCACGGGCATCTATCAATCTATCTTCTACAGTGACTACACGCACCCTGTCATCAAGCCCCACAGAGCTGGGATGGGTGACACCTGAATCCCAGCACTCAAGAGACTAAGGCAGGAGGATCACAAATTTAAAACCAGCTTGGACTACACAGCAAGACCCAGTCTTTTCAAAAAACAAGGTGCTACCCAGGCCAGGCGTGGTGGTGCACGCCTGTAATCCCAGCACTTGGGAGGCTGAGGCAGGAGGATCGCTGTGAGTTTGAGACCAGCCTGGGCTACACAGTGAGTTCCAGGTCAGTCTCAACTATACAGTGAGACCCTATCTCAAAAAAAAAACAAAAAACAAGGTGCTACCTGTCAGCTCAGTGGTTCTAGCGCCTGCCTCACAAGGCAGTTTGATCCCCAGTACCAAAACAAAACAAACACACACAAAACAATATCCATACAGACACAAAACAAAATCTAAGCTGGATGTAGTTCAGTGTCATTTGCCTAACATGCAGAAGACACTGGGTTCACTCTCCAGCACTACTGAAAAACAAAACAAAAACAAACAAAAAACACACAGAAAGAATAGGCAGGCATGGTGGCACATACCTGTAATCCTAGCACTTGGGAGGCTGAGGGAGGAGGATCACCTTCAGTTCCAGGCCAGCTGGGCTACACAGTTCAAGGCTAGCCTGAACTACACAACTACACAATGAGACTCATCTCAAAAAATGAAAGAAATAACCAATTTAGAGTATCAGCTGGTCCCTTAGATTAACCTTAGCTTGAGGAAGAACTCACTGCTTTCATTTAGGCGAAACACAAGTCAGGAGGGCCAATTCTGCAGAACCTGGCCATACACAACATATATATGAAAACTTTTTACTGTAGTGGGGATGGATCCTAGCACCTTTGCACTAAACTACATCCCCAGCCCTTTTTGAAACAGGATCTTGCAAAATTGCCTAGACTGGGCCTGAGCTTGAGATCCTCCTGCCTCAGCCTCTCAGAATGCTGAGGCTGCAGATGTGTTCCACCATGCCCATCTGGCTCTGATGTACTTATGTTCAAGTTCAGCTCCAGCACTGAATGGCTATGTGCTATGGGCGGGTTACAATTTTTCCTTCCCCATAGCCCGTGTTAGCATTCGGAGGACCCTGCATAGTACTCTCTTTGACCTGGAGGTCTGGCACACAGTAGGTGCTTTAACTGCTACACCACACCACTAATGCAGACCAGAACAGGTCCAGAGCAGTCCACGCAGCATTCTTTTCTGACCCAATGACCTACACACAGCATTATCACCCCAATTCTACAGATCAGAGGAAAAAAGGGGCTACAACCCTTCTACCCTTATCAGCAAACACCACGCATGAGACCCACAGCTCCGGTGTGTAGCAGCCAAACAGAAACCAGACAGCAGAGCACTGTGTGGGGCCTGGGCAAGGTGGCACCTGTCCTGGGTCACCAGGAGGTCCCCACCCTGCCTGCTGCTTTCAGAGCCTGGGAACATACCTGTTTGTAGAGCCACAGCAGAGTACAGACAACAGTGATGTCGGCCAGCGTCACTCTCTCGCCCACCAGAAAGGTCCTGGTTTTCAAATGGGCATCCAGCAGCCCCAGCACACGCTTCACCTCCTCCTTTGCATTTTCGGTAGCCTGTTGATTCAAATCACCCAACTCAGCAGATGATACCAAGCCCTCCGCTAATGTGGCTGAGAAGCCCTGGTCACCCTGACCTTCTCAGTGGGGCCACTGTTTGGATCTATTCAAATGCACCACACAGAAAGCTAAACTTTAGGCACTCTTCTGTCTGGTCCAACCTTCCTACAGCAGAAATCTCACCTCTGATCCCTCAGCCTGGCACCACCTCTGCTAGTCTGCCAAGAACCCAAGTAGCCACATCACTCTGAGGCTGGCACAGTAGGCTGCTCCTGCACACTTGCCAACACCCACGCCAATGTTGTCCTGCTTCTCCCCAGTTCACCTGCTTGTTGTGGTGCATGATACCCAAGGTGGGAAACACCCAGGTGCTGGCAGGAGGCACGATGTCGCTGTCAGCAAAGCTCACCCACTGCACCACCTGGGCAGCCGCCTCTGGGGTTCTTCCCCGGAGCTCCTCGTTGCTCACTGTGGAGGCCAGGAACAAAGATAAGGACTTTGGGGTCCTGTTGACACCACGGCAACCCCACACTTCTCCTGTCCACCACAGCACCCTCATATTCTCCTGCACCCCCACTGCCAGGCCCTCCAGTTCCCCCAATTTACCATAGTAAGCAATAGCGTTGCTCTCGAATACACAGAACCCATCATCGCCCTCAAATGCTGGAACCTGGAGACAGAGACGAAAGGTAAAATTAGATACACAAGGATTTTTCATTGGCCAATTCCAGGAGCTGAAAAGTTTTAGGCACAAGTATTTACATATTGTTAAGACTGACGGCTGTTAGTATTCAAGCTCATGACAGTCACTGCCTGAAACTCAGAAACCAAAAATGCTTCAATCACTTGCTAAGCCCTGTAATATGAATCCATAGCTACCTGAATAAAGTCCCTCAATCAAATAAGAAGGCCAGGATCCAAGTCTCACATTCATGTGTGCATCACTGCCAGTGACCAGGAGGTGACCTACAGGTAACTTGACCTCCTCCCCTCTCATTTACCTAGCTCCATAGTCTGTGGGGTAAGAATCCCACTCTTTTTTTTTGTTTTTTTTTTTTTGAGACAGGGTCTCACGATGTAGTTCAGACTGCCCTGGAACTCACTGTACAGCCCAGACTGGTCTCAAACTCAGAGTGATCCTCCTGCCTCAGCCTCCTGACTGCTGGGATTACAGGCGTGCGCCACCATGCCCGGCATATTCTATTTTGTTGTTGTTGTTTTTTGTGTGTGTGTTTTTTTTTTTTTTTTTTTTTTGTTTTGTTTTTTTTTTTTTTTTTTTTTTTTTTTGTACCGGGGATCAAACTCAGGCCCTTGCGCTTGAAAGGCAGGCACTGGAACCACTGAGTTAAGTCCCCAGCTCAAGAATCCCGCTCTTAATAGACATTTAGTATACTTGCATTAATGACACCCACAAATACAAATCCGACCTCTTAATTGTATAGTCACTGAATATCCTATATTATTCTAGACAACTACACGTGGATCTACAATGATCTCGGACACAAACGATCTCAGAACTTCTGAAGTCTCTAAATTGTGAAGCTCCCTTCATTTTAAAGATGCAGGCTATCTATCTCTAGTTTGGCAGAATGCTAGGGCTCCTGGAGTTCTCAGGGCTAAAAACCTCGTCCACCTCCCCACTCACCTTGCCGGCAGGAAATTTGCGGAGAAATTCAGGGGTGCGGTTGGTTTGGCCAAAGTGGAAGTGGGGTGGTGCGGAGAGCACGCGAATCTGAGCCCCGCTGTACTGAGCAGCGATGAGGGCCTTGAAGGCCCTCCAGTTTTCAGGGTATGTGTACAGGGTCTGCACGAGAAGAGCGGAATCAAGTGAAGAGAGGGCCCCAGTCCTGAATGCCCCCAGGAGGCCCTCCCGAAGGACATCACCCCCTCCACAGCGACTCCTCCCTCTGGAGAACCAAGCCTTTCGGTGTTTGCCCAGTGTAACAAGACTCCCCTGCAACACGGAGAACTGAACTGCAAACCGGCTACTAAAAAAAGCTCGCTGCCGACCTTCCCTGAGGACACCTCCGCCCCTCAAGCGCATCTCCGGACACTGCAACTTCTGGCTGCACCCGACTCCCCTGCCTCCTCAGAGCCGCATTTCATTCATTTCTCGGAGGCCGCGTCTTACTCGGCCGGCCGCCCCACTGCGGTCTACAGATGTCGGGACCCAGAGGCTCCCTCTACCCAGCCCGCATGCCGGCTCCTTTTCGGTGCGGTCTCCTCCACACCTGCTCAGCAGGGCCCGCAGCCACCGGCCCGACCTCCCAGGACGACCCCAGACTCCTCGTTGTGTCCCCGCCAATCGATCGCAGGAGTTCCGTCCGCCTAGCCAGCGCCCTCTTTTCACGCGAAGAGGAGAGTGATCGCTTCTGCAAGGCCGGGGGCGCGGACCCGGCCTGCCCCCGCCCAGAGCCCACCCGGGTCACTCTCCGCGGGCCTTAGCACCCTTGCTCTCCCACACGGCGGACTGCAGACTTGGGCCAGCCGCCCATTTGGCTGCAGAGCGCCTCAGGTAGTGCCCGACCCCTCCTGATAACAGGATGGCGACGGATAGGGGGAACCGGCTCACCGAAGCTGGCAAACTCACCCCAGCCGCCATGGTGATTCCGCAGAGAAAGGGGGTGGGGCTCCACCGCTGCCGTAAAGTAAACCGGTAGGGGGAGGGGAGAGCCGTCGGGAAGCAACAGCCGGAAAGTGAGGACGGCACAGACGGCGTACGCACATTTTCTCATCCAGTAGCACAGACGCAGAAAGAGGTGGGGCCGGCCTGCGTAGTGGAACTCTTGATTGGCCCACCCCTAGGTGCAACCAGCCAATTGGAACCCCGCTAGATGGGCGGTGCAGAGGGTGGAGGAAAAGTGTGAGAAACGCCTGAAAAGCCGCCGCCACCACCTCCGCCCAGGGTCTGAGGTGTCACGGGCTCCCTCGAGGTGGAGGGAGAGAGGAAGGGGACCCCGGTAGGGTTGGGGAAGCGGGAGATAGATCCCTGCGAGTGGGGCCGGGTGACGGAGGCGGGTTCTCAGAAGATGCAAGCGCACACCAGTGGCCTTAGCTCCGTTCCCGCAGGGATGTCACATCTAATGGGCCTCGTGCGGACCCCGCAGGACCGGTGAGGACCTGACGCTGCCGACCACGCTCGCGTCTGAAAACCTCCCATGTGCAAACCCACCTCTTGCACCACCTGCCGCCCCAAGATCCTGCCCGGACCTGGGGAGGGACAGAGAACACGGGACATTAGTGTGATCCAGCAGCTCATTGCTTTATTGCTTGGCGCAGCGCCTGGGGCATGAAGCCCTGCAGGAAGTGGTGCAGCTCAGGGAACAGACCCTGTGCATCCCGCAGCGGGGTCACCGTGAGCATCCGGTCGGCTTCTGATGCGCTCACCACGAAGGCCACGAGGGGCTCAGCCCCTGCTCCCTGCTCCCCACCGTCGGGCCTGGCCAGCTCCTGGGTCACGCGGGCCTCAGTCGCCAACCACTCGGCCCCCGTGTCACCCCCCTGGCG